CAACCCGGTACCATGCGAAACCCCAGCAGGCCCACCCAGCGCACGGGGCTGTCACGTGCGGCCCTCTACAGGGGGAAGACTCAGAACTGTTCAAGCATAGCCTGGGGACGATTGCTCGAGTTCTTTGGAAGAGTATGTTTGATGTCTCTTTGTTTAGCTATTTCTCTCACTATTCCTCCAAAATCCGCCCGTAGGAGGACATGCCGGACCTCAGGCCACCAACCCGGTACCATGCGAAACCCCAGCAGGCCCACCCAGCGCACGGGGCTGTCACGTGCGGCCCTCTACAGGGGGAAGACTCAGAACTGTTCAAGCATAGCCTGGGGACGATTGCTCGAGTTCTTTGGAAGAGTATGTTCGATGTCTCTTTGTTTAGCTATTTCTCTCACTATTCCTCCAAAATCCGCCCGTAGGAGGACATGCCGGACCTCAGGCCACCAACCCGGTACCATGCGAAACCCCAGCAGGCCCACCCAGCGCACGGGGCTGTCACGTGCGGCCCTCTACAGGGGGAAGACTCAGAACTGTTCAAGCATAGCCTGGGGACGATTGCTCGAGTTCTTTGGAAGAGTATGTTCGATGTCTCTTTGTTTAGCTATTTCTCTCACTATTCCTCCAAAATCCGCCCGTAGGAGGACATGCCGGACCTCAGGCCACCAACCCGGTACCAGGCGAAACCCCGGCAGGCCCACCCAGCGCACGGGGCGGCCACGAGGCGGCCGGCCATCGGGCACCAGCCACTCGACACCGCGGCGGGCCCCTCGAGTCGCCTGGGTGGTTAAGCCAGGGGCGAGCCGTCGAGCAGTGCGCTCGAGACTCTACAGATGTCTCCAACGGTTATGCTTCCCACCCGGGAGTGCCCAGGATAGCCCCCAGGACGCCTCCTGACTGCCTCCATGGGGCCCCAGGCGACGTCCCAGAAGAGGGTGCACAGCAGCAGCAGACCGTGTGCAGTTCAGCGCAGCTGGAAGAGGTCCTATTTTCAGTCGAGGGTCCAGATTTTGTTTGAAGCCTCGGCTCTTCGAGGTCCTAGGCACAAGATCTTAGACATCACATCATTCCACATTCAACGCGAGGGGCGTTACAGAGTAGTTCGTATGTTCCTTAGCTGCTTGTCGGAGTTCACTCGCTCGTTGGTCTTGTATCTGCTGCCAATAGTATGTGCTGGCTTTCCTGATCTGCTTGCTCCGTTGCCGTACTTGTTCGGTAAGCTCCCATATGTCCTCCGTGTGCTCCGCCGCTCCTCTAAGCTCGTCATGTCTCTCTCGGAGTAGTCGGCTAATCTCTCTCGTCTGTTGCTTGCTGCTCTCTGCGTACATCGGGGACCCTTGAGGTGCTCGGTCGTGGCCCTGTTAAAGACACCGGGTAGTGGCGAGTTCATGCTGTCTACGTCTCCCTCCGCCGCCGCCGCTTTGAACTCCTCCGTAGTCTCCCCCATCTGCTCCATAGCTCGAAATACCCCATTCCTCGGGTACCCCACCTGAACGCATTGATGTACTGCTTTCCGATTCGGTCTGGGTGGTTTGCGTGGTAGTGGCTCAGCTTCGAGTCACACGGGCATCGAAACTGGCACGGGTCGATGATCCCTGGGCTCTCTTGGTGTGATGGTATGCAGCCTCCTGGCTGCGCTGGATAAATCTGAACTTGCGCAACCGTCGTGCAACTCAAGCAATAAAAAACACTCTCTTGAAGAGAGTGCTTTTTATTGCTTGGGGCATGACGGGAGTCATGGCCCCCGCCCCCCCCTCCCCCCCCCCCTTTGACGTAAGGCTTCCCCCCTCCCCAGTGCGCTCCAGGCACTGCCGTCGTGCGCATCGGGATCCGCATAGGTGTCCGCATAGAAATCCGCATAGGATTCTGGTCCGCAGTCGTCGTCGGCGTCCTCGTTCTCGTCCTCGTCCTCGTTGCTCGTCGCCCGTCGCTCGTCGCTCATCGTCGTCGTGCGTGCGGACGCGGCTGGAGCCTGTTTTTTGTTGTCCGGGCCGATGACGGCAATCATCTGGGGGGGTGGGGGGTGCGGGGGGCCGATGACTTCACGTTTCGCGCCGGCGGTCTCTGGGAATGCCTAGAATGATCGAGGACGGGTAGCAGCAGCATGTAGGTGGCGATCCGCACCACCCAAGCGGCCCTGGGCGTTTACCAAGCAGCCATGCCCTGTTTGATTCCTCGTTTGGGCGCGTTTACAAAACGACTTCGCGTGTCGGGGTGGTTATTATCGAGGTGGATTTTTACCTCTAACCACAGCGCCTGTTTACATCACAGCGCCTGTGTACACCACGCCGCCTACGTACACGACAGCAGCCGCGTGCAACGCAGCGCCAGCGTGTGCCACAGTGCCTGCGGGCACCACAGCGCTTGTGTACACCACAGCGCCTGCGTATACCACATCAGCCATGCGCAACTCAGTACCAGCGTACACCACAATGCCTGCGTGTACTGTAGTGCCTGTATGCACCACGGCGCCCGTGTGCACCACAACAACTGTGTGCGACATAGCACACTGCTGCATCTATAATTTCAGAAGGGATCCTCATGACAAAATTGGGCGCCTGTGGATTCCACCGAAAACAATTGTTTTATATAGAACTTGGAACGGAATCCGTATGGAAAAAGGAGTGCCGCTGGAATCTACGAGTCCTCCCGCGTCCGCCCGCATCATCCTAGCTCCTCCCATCCGCGTCTAGGAGGCTCCAGCAAAATCGGCCGTCCGTGGGCTGATTCAATTGACCATTCTGCGGCGCAGGCTAAGATGCGCACGTGCGCTGCACCGCCGACCCGCACGACAGGGGAGAAGGGTGGGGGAGGAGGAGGAGGAGGAGGAGGAGGAGGAGGAGGAGGAGGAGGAGGAGGAGGAGGAAGAGGAGGAATACGTGGAGATGGCGGAGAAGGGAGGAGGGAAGAACGTCGCCTTCTATTATCAGCACTTGCTTGGCGTGGCGTTTAGTTGTCGGCAGCAGATCCACACCTACATGCTCCTTCTACTTGTCCTGTGCACGCAGGCGCTGTGGTGTACACCAGTGCTGCGTTGCACGCGAATGCTGTGGTGCGCACGTGCGCTGTAGTGTGCACAGGCGCTGCGGTGCACGAAAGCATTGTGGTGTACATAGGCGCTGCGTTGTGTTGCACATGGCTGCTGCGGTGTACACATTCGCTGTGGTGTACACCGGCGTTGTGGTGCACGCAAGCACTGTGGTCTACACTTGCGCTGAATTGCACACGGCTGTTGCGGTGTACGCAGGCGGTGTGGTTTACACGCGCGCTGTGGTGCACGCGAGCATTATGGTGTACACAGGCGCTGTGCGGCAGATCGGCACTTACATGCTGGTCGCGTCGTCGTCGTCGTCGCTCGTCGCTCGTCGCTCGTCGCTCATCGTCGTCGTGCGCGCGGGCGCGGCTGTGGTGCTGGAGCCACTCGGCGGGGGTTACATCATACCCCCCCGCCCCCTCCCCCCCCCATGACGCCCGTCATCGCCGAATATAAGCAAACTTTCTCCAAGGATGCACACATGATAGATGTATGAGTTTCCTTTCTCTCCTATGTACGTCGGCGGTCCTCAGTGATGCGTGGAAATAGTACAGTATAGTCAAGCCCCACCCAGCCACATAGGGACGGAACAATCTCGTCGTCGATGGTGTGATCTTTCCGGTGTCGTGTGCTCCCGCGACCTGATCTCTCTCGCTATGTGGAGGTGTTCCCTTCAAATCCGTATTCAAAAAACAACAGGAGTAGCTCCTCGCTGCCGTATGACCGTCGTACAGGGTGCGCTCTAAAGTGCTGCTGTCCCCGTGATGCAGGGTGCGTGCATGAACGTATGACCGTCAAACAGGGTGATACAGGGTGTGCCCAAAGTGCTGCCGCATCCAGGGTGCGATCATGACAGTCATGCAGGGTGCGCTGACGTATGACCGTCACAATAGGTAAGATCTAAGTACACAGGTGTTCCAAGGTGCGCTCATAGTGCTGTCGTCCCCAATGATGATGTCTCTGCTGGTGGAAGGCAGGCGGCCGCAATATCGTACTGCACCCCCTGACTTTCTATGATCATTGCAAGTTCCCTTCCACAAATGCTTGTTGAAATGTCAAACGCCCTCTCAACGCTTCTCATCGGGAACTTCTTTCTTCTCGATATGAGTATGGTCCCACAGCTCCTGGTCGTGAACTGCCCATACGAAAACCCCGCCTCGATCGCAGTATGGTATCCAATAGTCATCCTGCCCTCCGTGATCTCACCACTGTTCTTTTGCGTGCCGGCTACAGCAGTCAAATCTTTGTGTCCCGGCTCTTGCGATATGTCAGGCAACCTGTTGTGTGTGCTCGCGCACTGCGGGTTGTAGGGAGCAAGCCTCCAAAGTCATCCTTCCATTCATCGAGCACACGTTAGAAGCCAAGCTGCCATCGCGGCGCTGCCGCCGCCAGGCCTGCAGTCTCCCTGTGGGGAATGCCCCGCGAGAGGCTGCGCGGGCGTGGCCGCTTCCAAGGGTGGCGCTCGCTGCTGCGCCTGGCCCTGGCCTACCAGCCTCGTCAAAAAAAAACAGAAGACTTCTGAATTCGGTGATTGTGGGGTCAGCGCTACTCCAATGCTGACGGATGCCTGTTGACTCGGACGCGGTGTTGTCCGAAAACCGACCCCGCCCCCTCAGCATTGAAGAACGCGCTTTCTGACAAGTGCCCGAAAGCATCGTGCCCCAGGATTGCAATTTCCATTCTGGATATGTTTGACGAGGCTTGTAGGAGACGCCATTCAATCACCTCGACCTCGTCCTCTTTTCAACTCCTTCCTTCTCCTCCGCCTCCGCCTCCTCCTCCTCCTCCTCCTCCTCGTGCACCCCCTGATAATCTTCATCCTCTCTGCACGCCTCCTCCTCCTGCTCTTCCTCCTCCTCCTCCTCCTGTGCCCTCGGCTTCTTTTGCCTGCCTCGTCCTCCTCCCATTTCACGCGCTGCGCCATTGAGCCCAGCGCGCGCGCGTGGACGCGTGCGTCTCCCGAGCAGAGTGGCAGGCGCTGGCCACCAGCGCGAGCTGCTCCAGCAGTGGAGGCCTCGGCAAGCTAAGGACGCCGGGCTCGAGGAGGGGGGGGGGAAGAGGAAAGGAGGGGCAAGGGGAGGGGAGGGGAGGAGAGGGGGGAGGGCAAGCTAGGTGCGCTCGCGCCTCATCTGACACCCTTTCCCTCCCTCACCTCCCTTCCCATGGTGCCGATTTGCCATTACGGTCGGCCCGAGGTATAAGATCGAGGTCGGTTCGGGGAGGGTACCCTAATGTTCTTCGTGTTTGTTGGATGCTCTTGTGCATCCTGGGGAAGGGTCCCCTCGAATGCTCTGAAGTTCGGCTGGCGAAGGGTCTCATGTTCTTCAAGGATGTTCCTCTGTGCTGGGTCCAGCTGTACCCGCGGACGCGTATCAAAGCCGGCCTGCGACTACCCCAGAAAGACCACCTCGTGGCATGCGCAATCGGAAACAGGGGAGCTGCGTGCACAGGAGGAGGAGGAGGGGGAGGAGGAGGAGGAGGAGGAGGAGGAGGAGGAGGAGGAGGAGGAGGAGGTGGCGGGTGGTCGGGAGGATGAACGAGAGGAAAGGGGTGAGGGCGATCAGCAGCAGCGGATCAGGCGCAGATGCGAGGCAGGGGCCGAGGGCGAGAAGGACGAGTGAGATGCGGCGACGCTGATCTTCCCGAACGGGATGACAGCAAGGACCGAGACGATGACGATGATGACTCGACTGACCCTGCGGAGAAGGGGGAAGAGGCGGAGCCGGAGGCATGGAGCAGCGCGGGGCGAGAGGGGAGAGGCCCGGCCCTGCGCGCGGGCAGGAGCCGCCAAGATCGAAGCAGCAGCCGAGGCGCCCGCGCTTCCGTCCTTGCGAGGGCCGCTCGCTGGGGCGCCGACAAGCTTCCTTCCCCTTCTGCCCCCCGCTCTGCTCTTCTTCTCCTCCTCCTTCGCCTCCTCATTCCCCTCCTTCTCCCTTCTCCTTCGCCTCCTCCTCCTCCTCCTCCTCCTCCTCCTCCTCATCCTCCTCCTCCTCCTCCCCCTTCTCTCCCTCCTCCTCCTCCTCCTCCTCCTCCTCCTCTCCTCCTCCTCCTCCCATCCTCTTCCTTTTCCTCCTCCTCCTCCTCCTCCTCCTCCTCCTCCTCCGCCTCCTCCTCCTACTCCTCCTCCCTCTCTCATCCCTCCTCTCATCTCCTCCCCTCCTCCTCCTCCTCCGCCTCCTCTCTCCTCTCCTCATCCCTCTCCTCCTCCTCATTCCCCTTCTCCTTCTCCTCCTCCTCCTCCTCCTCCTCCTCCCCCTCCCCCTCCTCCTTCCTCCTCCTCCTCTTCCATTTCTTTTCCTTGTAAGTAACCTCGCCCTGTTGCACCCCGAGGGTTTTTCTGGCGTTCCAGGCGTTTCGCCTGTGACTTCCACGCCAGCTATGATTCTGAAGATTAAAAAGTGACAGCAGTTTCATCGATGCGGGTGGTTTTCAAAATGTGGCTCTGGCCTTAGCGCCGCAAACATTCGCTTTAAAAACTTGCAAGACTTTCACGGATTGAGGGCGGGTGAATTTAAAATGTGGCTCTCGCATTAGCGCCGCGCGCATTCGTTTTAAAAATTTACAGGAGCTTCACAGATTGAGGGCGGGTGGTTTTCAAAGTGTGGTTTTCGCCTGAGTGCCGCGCACATTCGCCGTGAAAACTTGCAAGAGTTGCACGGGTTGATGACGGGCCGTTTGCAAAATGTGGTTCTTGCTTAGCGCCGCGCGCATTCGCTTCATCCATTTTCAAGAGCTTCACGGATTGAGGGCGTTTTTTTCAGAATTTGGTTCTTGTAGCATTGCAAGAGTTGTTTTGTTTCCCATGGCCCACGTACCAGAAATGGTTTTGGAACGATTCAGGATTATACGGGTGCAACAGTTATGTTAATTCGCGGTGCTGACGTCCCAAAAACGGCTTCCTTGCACGATTCTGGACCGTCAAGACGCAGCAGTCCGGCTGATTCGTGGCGATGAAATCCCGAGAGCAATTTTTTGGCACGCTTCAGGATTTTCAACGGCTGTTTTGCAACGACGCAGTTCCCTCAATGGAAATGAACCGTTGTAGGGGCCTACGAAGAGAGAGCTTGGAGGGAGGGTTAATTCCAACATCGTTGATGACTCTTGGCTTTACACTGGTCCTCCTCCTCCTCCTCCTTCTCCTCCTCCTCCTCCTCCTCCTCCCGTCTCCTCCTCCTCCCCCTCCTCCTCCAGGGCCGCCGCCCGCCCGCGATGCCGCTGCTGCTGCCGTCGCTGCCGCTCCTGCCGTGATCCTCTGGTGGGCGGAGTGGGCGTCTCAGCACGGGGGCGGCTCACCTGAGGCGCCCCATTCTTTGAGGGAGCGTTTGTGCCCAGCGCCACGCTTCCTTGCAGAGCCCGGTCCACATCCTGCTCCCCACCACCGCTCGCCCTGGTAATTGAATAACTTCTCGCGGTCGCTCTGGGAGACATGTCGGCGGGGCGATCTTGGCGATTCGCTCGGGGCGCCCCCACAGCCTGTGACCCTGAAACTTGCACTTTCTCGCTGATGCAACGGCGGAGGGCGTGGTCGCCTTCATTATGTGGCCCAATTTTCAGTGCCCAGCGCAGTCGTCTGACGTAATTATGCGCAGCGGCACAAGGATAGAGGGCGGGTCGCTTTCAAAATGTGACTCTCGTTTGAGCGCCACGCACCTCGCTTCTAAGGCCTTCAAACAGCTACACGGATGGAAGGTGTCAAAAAGTTGATGTCGGTTTATCGCCGCACACATTCGTTTTCACATTATGCAGATGCCAGGCGGACGTACGGCACATATATAAATATATATATGAATACTTATATGTACATATATATATATATACACTCGGGTTTTAGTCGCGGAGTTTTTTTGCGTAAACGCCGCCGCTCGACCCAATTAAAGAGCTACATGGGTGGATCCTGGATCCTCTTGTAATAAGGGTCTCTCGGGCCACGCTCCTTTGCATTTTCCGACGAGAAGAAATCAGAAAGGTGGAGGTGGTTGTTTCTCGAAACGGAGCTCTCGCCTGCATTGCAGACCCGTGAGGCGCTCGTCTGTCAAGCTGGCTACCTCCGCAGTGAAACGGAGTGTTCCCAGGGGTTTAAGGCGCGGACACCGGTGCGTAGGGTGTACCTCAGTATGTTTGATGCACACTTACTGTTACATATATATATATATATATAGATACACCTTCCTATCTTGCCACCACGACGACCACGACGACGATGACGACGACGACAACGACCACGACCCCGACCACGGCGACGGCGGCCACGACTACGACGACGACGAAGATGACGACCAAGACGACGATGGCGACGACGACGACCACGACGACCACGACGACCACGACGACGACGAAAGCGACGATCGCGACAAAGACGGCGACGACGACGACGACGACGACGACGACCACGACGACCACGATGACGACGACAACGACGACCACGACGACGACGACCACGACGACGACGACCACGGCGACGGCGGCCACAACGACGACGACGACGACCACGGCGACGACGGCGTCGACGACGACGACGACGACGACCACTGCCACGGCGGCCACGACGACGACGTCGACGACGATTTCGACGACGACGACAAAGTTGATGATCACGATGACGACCACTTCCACGACCACGACCACGACCACGATGATGACGACGACCACGGCGACGGCGGCCACGATGACGACGACGACGACGACGACCACCACCACGACCACGGCCACGGCGGCCACGACGACGGCGACGACGATGTTGATGACGATTTCGACGACGATGACGACCACGACCACAACCACGACCGAGACCACGACCACGACCATGATGACGACGACGACGACCACGGCGACGGCGGCGCACGGTGACGACCACGATGATGACGACGACCACGGCGACGGCGGCCACGACGACCACGACGACGACGACGACGACGACGACGACGACGACGCGACCGCGCGCTGACGCCCTCTGGCCGCGGCCGCCGCACCGCAGGCCGGCACCGGAGCGGCTCGGGCGCCCCCGAGCGCCGGGGCAGCCAGGCTCTCAGCTCGGAGGCGTCCGAGAGGCCGCTGCTGCGTAGGACGCCGCGGCCTCGACGACGACGACGACGACGACGACGACGATGAAAACGACCCGCCTCCTCCTCCTCTCTCTCCTGCTCCCGCCTCCTCCTGTTCTCTCGCCCCCTCCCTTCCCCTCCTCGTCATCATCATCCTCCCCCCCGTTTCCTTACTCCTCCCTCTCCCTCTCCTGCATCCTCCTCTGCTCCCTCCTCTGCCTCCTCTCTACCCCTCTACGTCCTTCTTCCCTCCAGCCCTCCCCTTCCAGCCGGCCCGGGGTTCTAGCAGCGTTTGTTTGCAGTGGCCCAAAGTCGACGCGGTCACTCGGGGCCAGCACCGAATACTCCCTCCCCTTCGTTATCCTCCTCCTCCTCCTCCTCCTCCTCCTCTTCCTCCTCATCCACCGCCTCCTCCTCCTCCTCCTCCTCCTGGGCCGAGGGCTTTCACTGCTCCACCCCTGGCAGTTTCCTCGCCGAAGAGCCTTCGTATTGCCCGACCCGACCTTCCTCCTCGTCATCGTCGTCCTCATCCTCATCCTCCTCCTCTTCATCCTCTTCTTGCTCACGTTCCTGCACATTATTCTCATCCCCAGCCCCGCCCTCCCGCTCCTCATCGCCCTCCTCCCTCCCCACCGTCCTCCCCGTTCTCCTCTCCGTCGTCCTTCTCCTGTTCCGTAGCCGTCCTGCCCCAGGCTTGGATTATGTTCACGGCGCCATTCAAGGTGGTATACTTGTGAATCGCTCCCAGGACACATGCGCAATCCTTTGCCTCTTGCGCTCCACGTTTCACGTTGCGACGTTGTACATGTGCGTCACACATGTGAAACGTGGAGCGCAAGAGGCAATGTAACGATATCAGAGTGAATAGATGCAGACCGCGATGTCACCTTTCTCGGTCTCGGCACCGTCATGAAGAAGGACAGTCCTTGCAGGTGGAAGTTGGGCCACTCCCTCGCTTTCTGCCGTGCTTTCTGATCTGGAAGTCGCATCGCACTCTGCTCATTCTCCTTCTCCTCCTCCTCGTCATCCTCCTCCCTGTCTTGCCCCTTGTCTTCTGATTGTTTCTCCTCCTCCCCTTTCCCCCCTCCCCCCACCTGATCCAATGCTGTTGCACGGGCTTCCTCGACAGAAAGTTGGTGTGAGGCGATTGGGGGACGAGGGAGTGGAAAAAGGTAGGACAGTTAATTTTAGGTGAAGAAAGATAGAAGCGGAGAGCGAGAGAGAAAGAGAGATTATCCGGCAAGGACGAGCCCGAGCAGGAGGAGGAGGAGGAGGAGGAGGAGGAGGAGGAAGAGGAGGAGTGCGAGGACGAGGAGGAGGACCATATGAGAAGAGGGAAGAGGGGGGAGGAGGTGGTGCGGGCGAGGATGACGACGACTAGCACGACAACATCGAGGGAGAGGAGAACGAAAACGGCAGTGCTTGAAAGGGTATGCCGCAAAAGGATGCAGGAGGAAGGTGCTGTGGGATGAGGAGGAAGAGGAAGAGGAGGAGCAGCAGGAGGAGGAGGAGGAGGAGGAGGAGGAGAGTGGGGGCTGAGCAGCAGCAGCAGCAGCGAGGATCAGGCGCTTTTGCAGGAGGATGGGAGGCCGAGGGTGGAGAGGGACTCGCAACAGCAGCTTCAGCGCTTGGCTGGCGCCTTTTGAAGCAGCGGCTGCTTGACCAGCGCACGGCTTGACGGCTCTTCAGGTTCTGCCGCACGTGTTCTGATTTTGTTTGTCTGCTTTGGTCGGAGACGAGAAGAGAGAAGATATAAAGCGACGGACAAAATATCTGCAGGATCAAGCCAGGCGAGGAGGCGGAAGAGGTCGCCCCCGCGCCGCCCGCCTCTTGCGCAGCCATCGGCCCGCTGAGAGCGTATGGGGGGCGGGCTGGGCAGGCTTCCCTCCCATCACCCCTCCCCGCGCTCCTTCTCATTCCACTCCTCCGCCCGTGCCCTTCTTTCCATTTCTCCCGTCTCCTCCTCCTCCTTCCCTCATTCTGCCTTCGGCCCCGATCGGTCGTCGGCCGATAAAGATCAGAAACAAAATGCAGCCCATAGTAAAGATCGGGCGAGCCAAAACGGGTGGATCCGTTCAACAGTGGTGCGGGAGAGGGGATGTAGGCAACGAGCCTAATCAGCAGGCCCTTACCGCACTCCGACCGCCCCAGTGGCCTCCACGTCTTGCGGCGTCGACACCTTGCAAGACAGTCCACAGAGGCTTGAGTTGACAGAAGACGCCTGCGTAGAGTGGCCAGCTGTCTCTTCAGAATCGGAAGCCCCAGCGTAGGCGATGACCACAGCAGCAACCAGTGCATCAGCAGCCGCAGACTGCAAGGCCGACGGAAGATCGGGGTTGCCATCACAACTGTTCCCCCTTTCCGCTCGCACGGTGTCCGTTAATTCCTCCAAGGCGGGGCAGAAGGTTGTGCACGTGGACGCACGGGGATCGCAGGTGAGGGGGTCCTACCGCACGGGATGCCTCGGGAACCTGACCACAGGAGACGCATTCACAGGCCAAAAGTGGTGCGCCAGGGATCCCACCCACCCCACCCCGAGACGTGGCCAGCAGGAGATGGAGGGGGACAGCCCCAGACCGCGGGAACCCGTAGCTTGCAGGCCACCCGAAGCGAACCCCAATCACAAAAATGTTCATCTTGTCTCTGCAAACTTCCTCCCAGGCGATCGCAAACATGGATCAAGGGGGCGTGGGTCAGCGACGGGTCCCGCTTCCATGGGAAACCGCGGATCTCCGCCGCCGAACGAGGCGGCACCAGCCGCATTTTGGGGAGGGCACCTCCCCCGATCCATGGATTTGGCGACCGCGCTCCAAATCCATGGATCGCTAATCCATGTTAGCGCCCCCCCGATTTCTCAGAGATTGTCTCACAGAGGTCATGGTGCCGATCCAGAAACTCAGGCGAACTCAAATGACCCCTGGTGCAACTGAAAGGGGCAGGCCTGACCACGGAAAGAGAGTGGAGGCAGATACTTGCGGCCCCCTGTCCGCCCCCTCACAAGCCTGTGTCCAAACATCCATGTGCTGCAACCCCTCCGTGGGGGTGGCTTCGCAGCGAGCCGCATCAATATGAATTGATGTGTCGCACACATGGCCCTGCCATTCACCTACCACATGCTTGGTACAGGCATCTCCCAGGGCTGCACAGCACCATGGTGAAGGTATCGGCAGGACCAACAGCCCAAACGGCGTTGGCGGCCACGGGACCTTCAGGAACGGGGGCCTGGGTGGTGAGCACCATCGGAGAAGAGGTCTCTTGGGGGCAACGATAGGGGGGGATAGGCATAGGGGGGGATGCATCGACCCCCAATCGCCCACTGGTCGCTGAAAGGGGCCCGATAGTCCCAACCTGCCCAGGAAGGTGCGGATTCACTATCGGAGGCCTATCGCCGATCTGTCGGCGATGTATCGCCGACTCCAGGTCGATGCGTCCCCCCATATGCCAGTTCCCCCCTATCGTTGCCCCTCAGTCTCATCAAACGATTTGGGTGCCACAGGAGGCGCACAGACTTCCACGGGCTCTGCGGGCAAACGTCTCTACCCGCACGGTTGGCGCTGTGTGCCTGTCGCTCCTCATGGCGTGCAGGCTCCAGATCAGCAGGAGCGGCGAGCAGGGCGGATCAGCAACAGCGAGATGTTTGGCAAACCTAGCGGGATGATCAAAATCTTGCATGCAGACCTGGCATACGCTGCGCATGGCGGGTTCAGAGAGGGTGAGTCCATCGTTGTGCCCCTTCGAGGTTGGAATCCCCATCAACCTCATGGACCTTGCCGCGTGGCCACAGCCTCTGCAGACAAACCCTGAGGAGGAGCACCTTTTGCCATCGCAAGCACCTCGCTTGAGGCGACCATCGTGCCTGGTCTGGGCAACCCGTCATGCTCTCCCCCAAACTCTCGCAACGAGGGCAAACCATACTTGCGAGCAGCCTGCCAGGCAATGGCTATCCACCGAGCAGAAACGCCATCGGTCGGGCGAGGGGCTGCCTCAGGGTGCAGCAAGTCGGCGGCCAACGGGATACTTCCCCGCAACACTTGCAGCAGCCCTTCAGCCTTGTGAAATCCCACATCTAGAAGTACACGCGCAAACGGGGAGCGTGAGCAAGGAGGCGAGACAAGTTGCGTAGTCAGAACATGTGGCCTGGCCGAGCGGAAGACTGTTTGGTGCGGGTCCACACGCATACATACATACATACATACATACATACATACATGCATACATACATACATACATGCATGCATACATGCATGCATACATACATGCGTACATACATACATACATATATACATACATACATACATACATACATACATACATACATACATACATACATGCAACCATACACGCATACATGCATGCATACATACATGCATACATGCATACATGAATACATACATACATGCATACATACATGCATGAATGCATGTATGCATACATACATAGGTACATGCATACATACATTCATGTTATATGTATAGGTGTATAGATATAGATGTCTACGTACATACATGCATGCACACACATGCGTGCATGCATCGGTGCATGCATACATACCTGCATGCTCTCACCAAGCAGTCACATACACATATACACACCAATCTACATACATACAGACTTGCCTGTATACCTACATAATTGCATGCACGTATCCGCGCATATGTAGATATGCATACATCGATGAGAATGAACTTACATGCATGCACACATCCAGGTATACAGCCATACATGCATGCATACATCTTTACATGCATACATACAAATATGCATGCCGCCATGCATGCATGCGTACATACATACATACGCACGCGCGTGCGCACGTACACACAACACATACACATAAACCTCCATATCGTCACCTGCATACGTGTATATTCATGTATGGATTCAGCGTCGTGTGGAGCCGTTGGCAGGTGCACGTGGCTCAGTGGATTGAGGGTGGGGGGCGCGCTGCTTTCTGCGAGGCTGACAGTTCTTGCCGTAGCTCCCCTGAAGTATGTTCTAGTGCTGCTCCCCCGCTGAAAGCGCCCAGTGCGCTGATGCAGGGGCCGAGGTGCTCGAACTCTGCGAGAGCGAGAAGTATCAGGGACCAGGCTGGAGCAGCGTTGGAAGTGTCGCGCCGGGATCACGGCGGACGCGGGAGCGGGTCGGGGCAATCGCGGCGACGTCTCGGGCCGCGTCGACGGCGTCGGAACGGCGCCGCGGCAAAGTAAGGGTCGCACTGGGACAACGGTTTTAGGATACCCACTCCGCGAAGATCCGATCCAAGATGTCGCTGCACATGTTGCAACACATCGCCTCTCTAACTCGCCGCCGATCCCGCGGGGCTGCCAGAAGACCAGCCTCGAAGGCCACCTGAGCGTCAACGCTATGTTTCATAGGGCCGCGAGTGGCATCTCGCCACTCGTCCGCCCCCCTCTCTTGGAGGCAGCTCTGAAGCCACTGGGGGGCCGTCTGGGAGCCCCTAGGGTGTTTGGGGGGACTTTCGGGGCCCTCTCGCTCCCAAGGCGCCCCACGCAGGCTTTCAGACGGCTCGAAACGCCGCCCAGACGGTCCAAGACGGTTCCAAGACGACCCCCAAAGGGGCCCCAAGAGGCAGCATGCAGCGGTCTGCCATCGGATCTTCCGTGTTTTTGGCCCTCGCCTTTTCGGCCCGCTGACACTCCCCAACAGCCCAAAAACACCAACAGCCGCCCCACAACGGTTCAATTGAGCCCGCCCAAACAGGCGCATCCCCACTGCCCAGGAGGCCCAACACCCCCACAAAACACCCCCAAGGACATCCCGGAAAGGCACCGCGCCGCCCCTGGCGTCGCAGGAGGATCACTCCCAGACGCCCGCGGAGTCGCCCCCGGATGGCCCGCCACGTTCCCGACGGCGCGCCACGAGGGCTCCCAGAGGGGCCCACGACGCCCCCCCCCCAGACGCTCCGAAGGGTTTCCCAGACGGCGCCAGGAAAACCTTGGACGAAGCATGATTGGTGCTCCTACGGCTTGCCGCCTCTTCGGCCTGCCGGCGCTTCCACCAACCCAGAAGCACCACCTGCCCGCTTCAAGACGGCTTCGTGGGGCTCCCCCCAGCGGCGCCCGCACCGCCCAAGAGGCCCCCCAAGGCCGCCCCGAGGCATCTCCGGAACAGCCCCCACGAGGCGCCGAGTCGCCCCCGAGCCGCAAGAAGACCATTCCCAGACACCCTCCTCCTGACACTCTCCCGTCTGCCACCCCTGCGTCTGACCCTCCCTCTCTACAGTTACACCATATGAGTACTACTCTCCTCCCTTCCCTGATGCCGTCCAGAAGATGTTCGGCCCCCCTCCGCGCATTGTTCTTACACACAGGATTCCCCGGGAATTGGGTTTTCGCTCGGGTTTTTGTAATGTTGCTCCCGTTGAGGCGCTGGCCTCATTTTCGGGCTTCCGCTCGTTCCGAATCGTGATCCCGCTGCAGCGTTGGCCTCATTTCCGCGCTTCTGCTCGTTCCGAATCGTGCTCCCGCTGCAGCGTTGGCCTCATCCCCGCGCTTCAACTCGTTCCGAATCTTGCTCTTGCTGCAGCGCTGGCCTCAACTCCGCGCTTCAACCCGTTCCGAATCGTGCTTTCGCTGCAGCGCTGGCGTCATTACTGTATTCCCAGTGCTATGCCACGGCATGGTTTTCAGTCCTTCAAAATCGGCCCCAAAATCTAGAAACTGGCCCCCGAAAAACCATGGGAAAGGATTACACATTCGGTGTCGATTCGTTATTTTTCCCAACCATCCTGTGGTGTTGGGTCCTCGTTTTGAAGAGACAGCGCCCCGCGTCTCACCTCCCGCTGCCCTCCTCTCTTCTTCCATCATCGTCATCATCATCATCATCATCATCATCATCATCATCATCATCATCATCATCATCATCATCATCGTCATCATCACCACTAGCATCATCATCGTCATCATCATCGCCATGGCCATTAGTTTCCAACCATCCTGTGGTGTTCGCATGGCGGCCCCGCCCCATTCTGGCGCACCCCTCACACGGTTCGTGGCCCCATAGGGAGCTCCACCGAAGGCCCCATGTGGCTCACACGGTTCGTGGCCCCATAGGGAGAAGGCCCCAGTGGCTGCGTTCGCATGGCGGCCCCGCCCCAGTCTGGCGCCCCTCACACGGTTCGGGCCCCATAGGGAGCTCCACCGAAGGCCCCAGTGGCTGCGTTCGCATGGCGGCCCCGCCCCATTCTGGCGCACCCCTCACACGGTTCGTGGCCCCATAGGGAGCTCCACCGAAGGCCCCAGTGGCTGCGTTCGCATGGCGGCCCCGCCCCATTCTGGCGCACCCCTCACAGGTTCGTGGCCCCATAGGGAGCTCCACCGAAGGCCCCAGTGGCTGCGTTCGCATGGCGGCCCCGCCCCATTCTGGCGCACCCCTCACAGGTTCGTGGCCCCATAGGGAGCTCCACCGAAGGCCCCAGTGGCTGCGTTCGCATGGCGGCCCCGCCCCATTCTGGCGCACCCCTCACACGGTTCGTGGCCCCATAGGGAGCTCCACCGAAGGCCCCAGTGGCTGCGTTCGCATGGCGGCCCCGCCCCATTTCGGCGCACCCCTCACGAGGATCGTGGCCCCATAGGGAGCTCCACCGAAGGCCCCAGTGGCTGCGTTCGCATGGCGGCCCCGCCCCATTCTGGCGCACCCCTCACACGGTTCGTGGCCCCATAGGGAGCTCCACCGAAGGCCCCAGTGGCTGCGTTCGCATGGCGGCCCCGCCCCATTCTGGCGCACCCCTCACACGGTTCGCGGCCCCATAGGGAGTTCAACCGAGGGCCCCAGTGGCAGGCTTCGCATGGCGGCCCCGCCCCAATCTGGCGCACCCCGCACGAGGATCGCGGCCCCATAGGGAGCTCCACCGAAGGCCCCAGTGGCAGGGTTCGCATGGCGACCCCGCCCCATGTCGGCGCACCCCTCACGAGGATCGTGGCCCTGTGGGGAGCTCCACCGAGGGCGCCAGTGGCAGGGTTCGCATGGCGGCCCCGCCCCATGTCGGCGCACCCCTCACGAGAATCGTGGCCCCATAGGAAGCTCCACCGAAGGCGCCAGTGGCAGGGTTCGCTTGGCGGCCCCGCCCCTTTTCGGCACACCCCTCACACGGTTCGTGACCTCATAGGGAGCTTCACCGAAGGCGCCAGTGGCAGGGTTCGCATGACGGCCCCGCCCCATGTCGGCACTCCCCTCACGAGGATCGGAGTAATCATTTTTTGTCAGAGCTCCGGGGCCCGAAGGCGGACCCAGGGGGCCGAGATCGAAGGCCAGAGGCGAGCCCACACAGCGCTTGGGCGAGCCCAGATCTAGCTGGGAACTGGAAAGAGGGTCCCCTCCCCTTCCTCCTCCTTTCCCTCCTACTCGCTTCCTTCTCTTTGTTGCCCGCGCGCACGGACGGGCTTCCCGTTCTCGCACGGCAGGGTGATCACCACGGTGGCGTGCCAGGGGCGCACCATGCGAGAAGGCGACGGGGCGGGGGAACGGCGCTCCGGGGACGGCCAGACCTCCGGGGCGCGAGCAGTCCGCGGCCAGACCTCGGTCCTGCGGACTCTCGCCCTGGGCCGTCGGCTGCCCGGCGCACTGCTCCCTCGGCCGACGTCGCCCAGGCGTGATCCTGGACTGCGGCCGCCACGAAGTCGGGAACGGCAAGAAGGAGGACGACGACTGGTGGCTGGAGCTCTATGTGTTGCTCTCGCGCGCCACGCGCCACGAGGACCTCCTGCTCATGCGGGCGCCGCGCATCGAGTTCTTCCTGGCAGGGCCGCCGGAGGGCTTGCGGAAGCAGCTGGAGCAGTTTGCGGCGCGCACGAAGCGGCGCAGGAGGGAGGCGACGCCTCTCGCCAGGGAGCTCGGCTTCACCGAGTTTATCCGCGAGGCCTGACCTGAGGAGCGTCCGCCCCGAGCCGCGCCTTTTCTCGACTGCCCCACTAACTGTTTGGCCTCGCGCCGCGGACGACCCGCGCGCGTCGCTTGGACCCTCTCGGGGCGACCAGCGCGCGTCGTGGGAACTCCGTGCCGCGTTTTGCCCGACGCCTCGTTCGCCCGTCGTCGCTCTGCCCAGCGGTCAGAGCCTTGCCCGCTATCAGCCAGTCAGTTAGCTAGCCAGCTTTCTTTGCTCCGCGCAGCGGGCGACCCGCGCGCGTCGCTGGGATCCCGCCAGGGGCGACCGGCGCGCGCCGCGGGGACTCCGCGCTGCGCTGCGCCCGCAGCCTTGGATTTTTGGAGTGCGCGCGCAAAGAGGGAGGAAAAGAAGGGGCGAAAGCGGGCGCGATCCTCGCAAGGGCCGTGCCGACATGGGCGTCGCGGCGCGCGGGCGCTGCCGTCGGGGTTCCCGCGGAAGCTGCCCGCGGCGGCCCAGCCCAGTGTCACGAGTGTTCGGACAGGCATGCTCGACCAATTCACGTTCGTATACATTTACACGAGGCGTAGCCATGATCGCATTCGTGCAAATTACACCACTCGCGCGCAGACCCATTCACACTCAGAGTCACTCGCGCTCTGACTCACCTGCGTTCATTCTCTCGTAATCAGACCCATCGTTTTCCTTTGCGTTGTGTGCCCCGCCACATTTCGGCACCCCCCTCATACGGTTCTGGGCCCTATGGGGAGCGCCACCGAAGAAGATACTCACAATTGCGGTACTCACAACTGCATATGGTTGGGTCCTTCGCCAGGATAATTTGGTGGGCCGCAGAAACCCCACCCACTTTGGAGCGTCGCCCCGCCATGCCATGGCATGCAACGCGTTGATCTTCAACACCATGTCATGTCATGCAATGCTATGCCATGCTACGACATCCGACTGTGCGACTGGCGAGGAGATCTACGCCATGGTAAGGGATGGGAGGGAGGGGTAAGACGTCAGATATGACGCGAGCGCACCTAGCTTGCCTCCTTCCCCTCCCCTCTCCGCCTTTCCCTCCCGTCCTCCTGCGCGAGCGGCGCAATCTGCAGCCTTGAATCCGCACGCAGTGAGGAGACCACATGAAACCCGGCGAAACTCACTCCGGCTTCTCCTCCTCCTCCTCCTCCTCCTCCTCCTCCTCCTCCTTCTCCTCCTCCTCCCCCTCCTCCTCCTCCTCCTCCTCTTCCTCCTCCTCCTCCTCCTCCTCCTCCTCCTCCTCCTCCTCCTCCTCCCCCTCCTCCTCCCCCTCCTCACTCCCCTCTGCTCGCACGCTGCGGCGGCACCCCCACCTGCACCCCCCGGAACGCCCGGCCCCGAGAGGTCCCGCTGAGGCTGCCGCCCCTGGAGCACGGCGGGGCGGCGCGCGGGCGCCGGTGCCCCGACCAGGGCAGGGCAGGGCAGGGCAGGGCAGGGAGGGGAGGGGGGGGAGGGGGGCCCAGGAGGCAGGGCGGGGAGGGAGGGAGGCAGGGAGGAGAGGGAGGAGAGGGGGAGGGAGGTAGGGGGGGAGGGAGGTAGGGAGGGGGGGGGGGAGGGAGGGATGGGGGGGGGGAGGGAGGCAGGCAGGCAGGGAGGGAGGGAGAGAGGGAGGGAGGTAGGGAGGGGGGGGGGCCAAAAGGAGAGGGAGGAGGGGGAGAATACCTTACTGTTTGGACCTTCGCTTCGCGGGGTGCATCTCAGGAAGGCAGCTGAATTAGCCAGCAACCGACCTTCGGGTCATGTGCCGATTCAAGTGCGGTCCCACCGAAACCTTACCCCAGAAGGGGGGGAGGAGGAGGGAGAGGAGGAGGAAGAGGAGGAAGAGGAGGAGGAGGAGGAGGAGAGGAGGTGGAGGCGGAGGCGGAGTCAGGGTGCGCCAACTCTTGGCGAAGCTGGAGCAAAGCGGTAAACGGGAGAAGCCCTCCCATTAGAATGCCGTTTCCACGTCTGTAATTGGGAGACTGGCCATTTAATGCTCTGTTTCAGTTGGTCTGGGCTCTCCAGGAGTTATGCGCGGGAAGGCACCTGGATTCCAGGCTTACGGCGCGGGATCCTTCGGAGTAGCAGCCGCAGGCTCTAGATATAATCAGGATCCCCGTGGGGTGCTCTGTAACATACAAAGAGTGGTTCAGCTGATTGTGAAACAAGGCCTGGAGAATAGGAGAAGCACTAGCGCAACCCTCAGGAGGAGGAGGAGGAGGAGGAGGAGGAGGAGGAGGAGGAGGAGGAGGAGGAGGAGGGGGGAGGACCAAGGGGCCGAGGCACTGGAAGGGCCCAACCCTTGATCTGGTGCTTTTCTTTGGCACTGTAGGCAGGTCTATTAGCGACCCTCCTTTCTCCACCGCCATTCGTGTTGCTGCTCCACAGCCTGCGGGGGCACTGGTATTTCATTAGGGTGAGGGGCTCTCGCCTGTCCTGTCCTGATGGCTCCAAGCTCCCCCAGCATCACATGACGACGGACGGGGTGCTCAGGGGCATGCGGCCCGAGCACGTCCACGAGGTAGCCTCCACTCCCTTGAATCCGCGCTGGCGTCACTCAGGCCAGCTTCCTCGTGGGGCAATGCCAAAACGACAGAGCACGAGGTACATACTGCAAAAACGACTCTGGCGCTTTACCCTGAGTTTCCCATGCCTCTGCTTCTGCCGAGCTGCGGCCGCTATGCAAGAGCGCACCTGCTTTCGCAGCTGCGTCAGCTTCGTGGTTGCCTTTGGCCTACAGCCACTCGGGAGAGAGATGCGGTAATGCATCGGGGTCTACGTGCGCCTTCACTTGTGGGATCGCAGAGCCTGCATGTGCACCTGCATAGCACCTTCTTCGACTGACGTTCGAATGCCTGGATGCGGTATGCATCTCAGCTGCTCCCGCAGTCCGAATTGGCTATCTCAGCACTGGGGAGGTGGGTGGCGACAGCCGGTGCTGAGACGTGCTCACCTGCCGGGGATGTGGGAACTGAGCCCCAACCCGCCCGGACATGCGGCCTCGCAGATCGCCGTCTCGGGGAGATGTCGGGTATTCTCCAGCCCGCCCTGTGATACTGCCTTGCTCCCTCGTTGAGGCACGGTCCATCAAGGAAAACTCCATCGTGGAAGACGTCCTGAATGTCATCCCCAGTGCGAATCCACACCTGCAAATCTTGTTGTCCGAGCCCCAGCGGAGCGACAAAAAGGAGAAGTGGAGGCACAGCGGAAGCCTAGCAGCAAGTGTTGCTTGAAGTCTGGCGAAAGCAAGACATCCCGCGCGCAATCAAGCTAAAGCAAGAAGTCTGGCTAAAGCTTGAGAGATCCGATCCTTCCTCAACTCCTCCGTGCACCTGCACTCCCATCGCCTGTGATAGATGCTTTCCGAACAAGCCCCGCACAAGGGGCGCGCCATATCTACGCGATGCTCCATGCAGCATTGCCGGCTTCGACTCCAGAGCGTATGGCACGGCAAATTCTTCAAGAGCGCCCGACTGTGATTGCAAGGAGATGATAGAGACATACATTATCTTGCCACACCTGGATCAGTTGTGTCACCTGGGAGTTTCAGATTACAAGCGGCGAGCGCTGTTGTCTGATCCCTTTATTGCTTGCGCATTAGACACTGCACCATGCACGGGGACGTGTCTGTCATATGTCTTCCCTTCCGAAGTGACGTAATTGAACGGGCCGTCAAAAGCCCAACCAATTCGCTGCAGAGAATCTCTTTTGCGGCAAGTGCTGGAGCACGGGCTGCGCTAATCTGGACAAGCCGGTCCATGGGATTGCCTGCGTAACTCGACCACTTCTGGCAGCATTCCAGGCAATGGACGACCACGATAGAGCTGGCCTGAGCCCTTGCCCCCCCAAAGGGTCGTCTAAGAGCATGAGCGTGACTGCCTTTGACTTGCTGGTTGCCGGAAATCCAGCAATGCTCAAATATTCGTGCTGGGCTTTACCAAGCTCGGGACTGCTAACTCCTACGACGTCTGAACCATGAAATCCAGATGATTGTAGTCCCAATCAGAACTTCTTCTCCATGCTGACTCCTGCACCCTTCAAGGCGCACAGATTTGTTGCTCGTCTGCGTAATACCTGCAGCTGGCTCTACAGCGTGAGCATGGTGCCACATTTGGAACGCAAGCTGCCCGCGTAAAAATATATTCCCAAGTTGCTGGCTGATGGACCCGAATGCTTTCCTGCGTATTTCCCCAAGCTTGCCATCAATATTGCCTTGGATTTGGGGGGGGCTGGTCACACAGGCAGTTTTGCGCAACGCGATGATACATGTCATTGCCCATACTTTGAGGTGCGTACGGCTAGAGCTGCACGAGTGAGCCTGTTGACCAGAGTCCGAATGCATACGTGCGAGTACATCCCCCAAGAAAGTCGTCGATTAACTGGGTGAGGTCTATCTCAGAGTTGCTGGAGCGTCAGGCCCTCAGCGGTGGCGGCGAGAATACCTGGATAAGGTACGTTGCGAAATAGCACCCTGCGGCTGTCCCGATTCTTGGGAAGGGCAATTCAATGTATGCCTGAATACCCCATGAATGCACGCCCCGAGTATTGGTTCAATACTATCGTCAAGACTATGAATGGATATTCCTGCTGCTCTGCACGGTCTCATAGGAGATGATGGTCCACGTGTTCGCAAAAATTGTTCAAATCCCACAGGAAGCACCCTGCATGCAGATGTACTGATTCTAGGGATGCTGATTTTGCCCGTAAGGTTTGAATGAACACGATTGCCATGATGGAGCGGCTGGCTTGGTGGCCCATCATCTTGCTGAGGTGCAGTCCGCGAGACGTCTTACCTGACCCTGGCATAAACACTAGATTGATTGGGGAGTAAGCCGATTCCGCGAAAGCTCACGCCTACTTGATCTGGCTTGTGCTTGTGAATGGGCTTCGTGAGAATCGCATGGGTGGGGGACGGCATGGCCCCAATCTTTTTCAATGATGCGGAACAGCTTGACTACGCAACTCCATTGCTCTGTGTCTAGGAGTAAGTAGTGGCGCGGGTGGAAGCCGTCCCATGTCTGCGCAGGGTGGGGGGGGAGGAGGAGGAGGAGGAGGAGGAGGAGGAGGAGGAGGAGGAGGAGGAGGAGAAGGAGGAGGATGAGGAGGAGGACGAGGAGAATGAGGAGGAGGGGAAGGAGGAGGAAGAGGAGGAGGAGGATGAAGAAGACTAGTGCAAACCCAAGACGCATTAACGATGTTGCAGTAAACCCGCCCTCCACGGTCATTCTTCACAAGCCCTTGCAAGAGTTGATTTGTCTGAGAATCCCCGATCGTGCCAAAACAGAATTCCTGCGACACCAACGCCGCGAATCAACGTGACTGTTGTGTCCCGGCAATCCTAACCCGTGCCAGGGCACCGTTTCTCGGACTTCAGCACAGCGAATCAACGAGGCTGTTGCGTCCTGGCAACCCTTAAAGCACCAGAACGTTTTTTTTCCTGGGACTTCGACCATACGAGTCTTTGCAGCTGCTGCGAACTTTTAAGCCAAATGCGCGCGACGCTCAGACGAGAGCCGCATATGAAAAGCGGGCCGCCATCCGTCCTTGAAGCTGCTGTAAAAGTTTCAGACGAATGTGCGCGGCTCTCACGCAAGAGCCACATTGAACACGGGCCACCCTCCACCCTTGAAGTTATTGCAGGTGTTTATGACGAGTATGCGCGGTGCGAAAGCCAGAGTCAAATATTGGAAACGGGCCGCCGTCCATCCTTGAAGCTGCTGCAAACCACGAAGATGAATGTGCGCGGCGCTCAATCGAGAGCCTCCATTTGGACATGGGCCGCCCTCCATCCTAAAAGTTGATGCACAGTTCTGAGACGAATGCGCGCGGCGCTAAGGCGAGAGCCACAGTTTGAAAACGGGTCGCCCTCTTTTATCCGGGAGTTTGTGGTAATTGTTCCACCGAGGTCGTGCGGCGCTAAGTCGACAGCCGCAGATTGAGAACGGACCCCTGCTGCTTGGGAGTCGCTGCACACGTTTAAGACACATATGTGCGAGGCGCTCCGTCGAGAGCCACAGTTGGAAAACGGGCCGCCATCCGCTCTTGAAGCTGATGCGAACTTCCAAGACGAATGTGCGCGATGCTGAGGCGAGATCCACAGTTTAAAAGCCAGCCGCCCTCCATCCTTGACGCCGCTGCAAGTATGGAAGACGAATCTGCGCAGTGCGAAGGCCAGAGCCAAATATTGGAAACGGGCCGCCCTCCATCATTGAAGCTGTTGCAACATGTCACCACAGTTTGAAAACCAGCCGCATTTCATCCTTGCAGCTGTTATAGTGCCCTAGTTTCAGGATCGCAAGCGGTGGGGAAGTATCGGGCAAAATGCCTGGCCAGTTCTACCGACACGTCTGGGGGGTACCACAGGAAGGATTTATGTTTATAGGGAGAAGGGATTGAGGAGGAGAAGGAGGAGGAGGAGGAGGAGGAGCGCGAGGACGACGTGGGCGACGAGGGCGACGAGGTGCGAGGAGCTGGGGGGGGGGACGACGAAGTAGAGAATGCGGAGCAAGAGGCGGAGGAGGAGGAGGAAGAGGAGGAGAAGGAGGAGGAAGAGGCATGACGCAGCAGCGTTTCATTTGCCGAAAGCCGGGGTAAGTAACATTGAGGAGGTGGCTAGGAGTAGCGCCGCGCACCTTGGGCACCCTGCTTGGCGTCGCTCGCACGTCCCGCTTTTAAGCAGTAATCAGATCTAGGCGTCATGACCACCCAGGAAAGGCCTCTTGTGGCGCGAGCGCAGCCATTCGAGGAGGAGGACCATAGCAAACCCATGCATCAACGGCGTTGCGAAACAGCCTCCCGTCCCAAGTTCACTCCCCGGAAGGTCCGTGCAAGCAGTGGGGGAGGAGAAGGGGCAGCAGCAGCAGCACCGGCAGGTAGCCTACGCGCTCGAAAACGCATGGGCAGACTGGGAGGGAATGAAGGGGCGGAGAACAGTGAGAGATCGGCGATGGCGGCGCCGCATTGGCTGAGGAAGGGGAGGAGAAGTATGTGCTCGAACACAGTAGACTGTCATCAGGTGTAAGGGGGGCTGAACTTGCCAGTCTCATCTTCGCGGGCTGGGGATCTCTCGAGGGATGCGGGGATTTCGAGGGCCAGGGGGTGTCGCATCAGCATCGTGCGGGTTCCAGTTTGTCGCACGCGCGGCGGACCGATCCTGCCCAGGGAGAGGGAGAGGAAAAGAGAAAGAGAGAGAGAGAGAGGGAGAAACAGGGAGATGGAGAGGGGGGAAGGGGGGGGGGAGGCGAGAGAGCCCAGGGTCCGGTCGACAGGGATCGACACCTCTGTTCCAGCCTGACTCGCGTGTCCCCGTGCGCTCGACCGGGCTCCCTGCACGAGCTCTGCCCAGTCCGCCTCGCACCCGAGAGTGCCGGGCGAGGGCGCGCCTCCACAGGAGGCTACACCACAGTCGACCCGCATGGGAAGGATGGGCAGCCATCTCAAGGGTGCTCTGGCAGCCTTGCCTCCTCGGCCCATGCTTGGCCACGTTCGCTGGCCGCGCCCCGCTCGAGGAGCTTCGAAGTGGGCGTCCAGGGCCTTTGCGTCCTCCTCGCGCAGCCTCATGATGCGGGCCGACTGTATCTCCGCGTGCCAGGGCAGCGCGGAGCGCGGGGCGGCCGGGAGCGCTCGCGGCAGCCAGCCACCGCACCGGCCGGGAGGTGCACCTCGCAGCCCCCGGCGGCGCAGCCGAGAGGCCACAAGGGCAAGGCGCGCCCGAAGTCCCAGGGCCCCGCCGACCCCGAGGCCAGGGCACCCATGGGGGGGGGGGTGGCAGCGAGGGAGGGCCACGCAGCACGGCGGGTCCTGCTTCAGGCCGGGTCCACCATCGGTTCCTCCCTCCGCCCCCCTTGGGTCCGCCACTGGTCCCTCCCTTCTCCTGCTCCCACCTCCTCCTCCTCCTCCTCCTCCTCCTCCTCCTCCTCCTCCTCAGCCGCCGACGCGGCCCAGACCCCCCCTTGCCAGAGGCGGCCACCCCGAGGTTGCCCTGCTGTGATGGGGGCTGCCGCGGCCCGCAGGCGCTGATCCCTGTGTGCCGCCCCACCTGGGGCTGGCGGCACGCTGCCGCTCAGGCGCCGCGCAATGCGCGCCGTGGGGCGCTGTGCCTGCGGCTCCATGCTGAAGCTGATCACGGCCACGTGGATTGGAGTCGTCGGCGCCCTGCGCTGGTGCTTCCTGGGCTCGTCGTACCCCCACTCGCTGGTAACGGAATACCACCACGACGGGGTCTCGACGGTGCTGCGCAACGTGGGCATCAATGGTGTGCCTGGGACAAGGGTACGCGCGTGGCAGGCGGCGTACCACCAAGCGGACACGGCGACGTACCACCACACCATCCTGGTCGGGTGGCTCTGGAGTCGGCAGGGTACGAAGGCGTGTGGAGGTGCCATCATGCCGAACGAGACGTGGGTCGGGGGGATGGGCATCTGGCGCTTCCAGTCGGAGCAGGTGATGATTGCGGTGATGGTGCTCCCCCCCAAGCCGAACAAGGCGGGCAGCCCCGAAGTCTATTCGGACATGTGCGACCAGCGGCGGGCGCATGACTGGCATTGCACGGTGAGAAGGATGGCGATCAACACGTGCCACGACTGCGGCCCCACCTTCGCGGGCTCCTACGGCCAGAGCACCCCCATGCGTGAGAGGTGGGACCGTACCAAACTCAGCCAGGCGACTCTCACTGGTGAAGGGCGAGAAGAGTTGCTGGAGGAGTTGCAGAATGAGCCCGAGTCCCATCGTGCGGCCCTCGAGATGCTGGAGAGTAGGGCGATCATGACGGGGCACACGGCACACCTGATCAAGGAGCTGGAGGAGGAGGACATCCGCTACGCCACGAACGTGACGAGGACCCGCAGGTGCAACCTCACTGTGAGTATCGACGCGGTCGATGCGAGGTGTGCCGTTCGCAGTGGCAGCGGACGCCCCGTGGGCGACACGTCGGTGCCAGAGACTCTCATGCAGAACTATCACGTGGTCCACGTGTGGGCGGCCTTCGAGAGAAGACAGAACGCTGAGTATACGACCATCACCTTCTGCAAGTTCATGGTGGGCTCCTGCGTAGGCGCGCCCATGGGCGATATCTTCAAGCCGCTGCTGGTGCCGAAGGATATGGCCTACGCTGCGGACGGTGTGGTGGTACCCAAGAGGAACGACATGTACATGGACCAGTCGCCGGCAGCACGGCAGTATGCGCTGATTCGGAGCAAGCAGGACGTGGTGCCAGCGATGGGGTCGAGGCTACGGGACACCCAACGTGCGCGGCGGTGCCGCGCGGTGAGGGGCATGAGCAGGAAGACGGTGATCTTGGAGGACTGCATGGAGGATGCCAATGCCTGGCAGGTGGAGGCCCAGACGTTCTCGTTCAACGCGCGGGCACTGAGGGACAAGGTCAATCTGTTCAAGGACAAGGAAAAGGCGGCAAGGGACGCGGGTGACTCCGCGATGGTCGAGTGCTTGGCAAAGATGGAGGTGGGGCGCGCCAACTGGCAGACACTCGTGGAGTGGTCGGCGGCCATGGTGGGCGACCCGCCAGATTTCGTGATGTTCTGCCGCCGCGTGAATTGCTACCAGTCGAACATGATCAAGAGTGTATTCATGGTCACCGACCAGACTGGGGTTATGGGAGAAGAACTCTCGGAGTGGATCGACGTATCAGCGTGAGGGCAGCCACGGACCATTGCCATCACCAGCGGCGTGCACTTACCTGTTCGGCATGCTCGGGTCGCTAGGTGTGAAGCTTGGGCGTGGACCTGGCCATCGATGTGTGGCCGCGCACAGCGCCGCGCCTTCGAGCGTGGCTGTGCCGCCGCGGCACCAGGGTAATGATGTAGTGGTCTGAGGCCACGGACAGCGGGCAGTAGCTTATGCGATTTTGACTTGTGCGTAGTGGCCCTCGCCCGCCTGCTTCTCGCCCCCTCCCCCTCGCGGCCGCTCGGGCCCTCGTTCGCCCCGCCTTCGGTCCCCCTCGGTCGGGCCCCGTGTCGGTCCTCGGTCGGTCCCGCCTCCCTGTGCGAGCTGCGCGGCGCGTGTAGCGTGCTTGTGTCCGATTTGTTCCACGGCACGTGAGTTTGCACGGCACAGTACATTCATTGCTCATCAGCTGCGTACTACTACTACTCCTCCTCCTCCTCCTCCTCCTCCTCCTCCTCCTCATCATCATCATCGTCGTCCTCCTCCTCCTCCTCCTCCTCCTCCTCCTCCGCCTTCTCCTCCCACGTCATCGTCGTCCTCCTCCTCCTCCTCCTCCTCCTCCTCCTCTTCCTCCTCCTCCTCCTCCTCCTCCTCCTCCTCCTACTCCCTCCTTGACATCCTCCTCGTCCTCCTCTAGTGGGCGGTCCGCTGGGGTGTCCCGACGGGGTGTCCGCCGTGGTGTTTCCTGCAGGCTTTTCGACAGGTCAAAGGTTGGGCTGGATCGGAGGGTGCCAACTCTGCACTAGCGGCATCCCCGTGCACCTCTTTCCCTTCCCCTCCCCTCTCCTACCCTCCATCCGTCCCTCTCACCCCCTGCATTCCCTCCATTTTTCCCTCCCCTCCATCCTTCCTCCCCCTCAGCCCCGTGAAATTGTGCACACACTCATTCCGGCCATTCCAGCTTGCAGAGACGAGGTGCACTTACATGTTCCAGACGTGGGCCCAGAAAAAGCCTCGCCAACTCTGCTGGTACAGGAGTGTGCAGGAGGAGGAGGGAGGAGGAGGAGGAGGAGGAGGAGGAGGAGGATGAGGAGGAGGAGGGATGAGGAGGAGGAGAAGGGAGGAAGGGAGGGAGGGAGGGAGGGGAGGGAGGGAGGGAGGGAGGGAGGAGGAGGGAGGAGGGAGGGAGGGAGGGAGGGAGGGAGGGAGGGAGGGAGGGAGGAGGAGGAGGAGGGCGAAGAACAAGAAGAGGAGGAGGACGAGGATTCTGCAGCCGCGTGGGCTCGCTTTGCTGCCCCCCGCAGGCGGAGGCCCGTGGTCCGTGGGCGGTGGCCGTGCCCCGTGGAGTCCTGCAGCTGCTCGCATGGGTGTCCTGCCACCCGCCTCCGCTTTCGGCGAGTGGGCGCGGCAGGCACGGGGGAGGATTTGCCCTCCCCGACCGTATGCCCTGCTGAGGCCTTGGACTGTTTCCCTTGATCTGGCCACGGGGCGGTCGCCCGTCGTGTGGCCAGCGCCTCCTAGCCCACGGGGCTGCTGGAGGTACCCTTTCAGTCAGTGGTGTCCCCCTTACTGCCAGCAGTGGTTTTCCCAGCCGCCGGTCCTTGTTCTGTTTTCACCAAGGCTGTGCGGGCGTTGAGTTCGAAAAGAAAAAAAAACCTCCCACTGGCGCGGACTTGGGACGGACGTAGCTGGCAAAGGTGGCAGGCGTGCAATCGCCGCGCTGGCTAGCAGGGCGCCCCTCGGGACTCGAGTGCCCCACGGCGGGGCCAGAGCAATGGATGACGGACGCGGTGGCGACGTCAAGCAGAGGCCACAGTGTGGTCGGGAAGTTTGGGATGGCGTGTCGCCCCGCCGGTTCTGGCCCACCGCCCTTCGGAGAGACATGCTATCCACTACCCGGCCCCCCAGCGTCAATGTCCCAAGCTGTCCCGAGCCCCCCGCCCCGCGGAGCTGAGCGACGCGCTGTCCACTCGCAAGGCACAGCGTGTCGCCGGGGCCGCCGGGGCTACGCGCTATCCAGAAGTTCCCGACCGAAAACAGTGACGGACGCTTTGACGACGGTGAACGGAGGCCATCGTATCCATTTCCTCGAGACAGCCCCCTGGCGCAAAGGAGGGCATCGCACCCAGCCGCACGGTCGTCGCCCACTCTGTCCTGCCAGTCATCACAATAGGACCGCGTTCGTTCCTACCGCCGTGGGAGCTCCGAAACAAGCAGTGGCCGCGCCGCCGACAAAGACGACGACGACCGGATCCCCAACGGCGGCCACCTTCAAGCTGGCAGATGCACTCCAGGCCGCGTCACAGAATCTGCCCAGGCCAAGTACTTTTGGCGCATCGCCACTGGCATTTCCCTTCTCGGGCCCCAGGTCGCGAACGAAATCCAGAGCATAGCATCACCGACGTCCTCGAAGCCAACGCGCGGGACGCAAGCACCAAGCAAGTTCGCCCCGCGGAGCGACTGAACGCGTTGGAGACGAATTCCGGCCCCATCGCGACGTCAGCAGCAGCTACGCCCTTGCCGGCCCCGCCCGGGGCCGCGCCAGGGACCCCACCATCCTCGAAATGGTCGTCGCCCGCGCCCGAGTGGCCCACGACGCGTGCCGCACTGCCCTCGGCGAGCGGATCGAGGTTTCGGGCGCTCGGAAAGACAAGGCCGAGCCCCAGGGGGGGGACGGCATTCGCGCAAGTTCGCACCCATTTTTGTTGGTGGACGCAGGTGTGAAAGCAGACACGTTACCCGCGGGCCTGCCTCCTGGCCCGGCCCGCGGGCGTTCGCACAGAGTTGCAGAGCGCTGCAGGGCTGGGGGCGTTGCACTTGAGGAAGCGCCAATAACGGTCCCGGCGTCGCGGGGCCACGTGGCGATGGTGCAGTGAGCGGCTCAGATGAGGAACATATACGTTTCAAAAGGGTTTCGGTCGTTCCTTAGGCTCGCACGCGTTATGTATCGTTCCCTGTGCGTTATGTATAATGTATCTTTCCGTGTGCGGTATTCTTTGGAAAACAATGAGTTTCGTTCTCCATGTATCTTTCCTTAGGTCAGGCCGACGACTGTAATTTGTCTGCCTGCCCACCCGCGCCAGCCAACAACAAAAACGCGGGCCTGCGCTGTCGAGTCCAAGCTCTACCCCGCCGAGGTGGCCCTCGCAGTGCTGCCGGCAAGCAGGGCTTCGCCGCCGGCGTGCTCTCTGGGCCGCCGCCGCGGTCCCCTGGCTGGGCCCCGCTTGTCAAGCTGACCGTCGACGCCGACGGCGGCGTCGACCCACGCGGGAACCCTGAGGAACTCGAGGCCCCACCCACCTCCCACTTCCTCCTTCCTCCTCTTCCTCCTCCCTCCTCCTCCTCCTCCTCCTCCTCCTCCTCCTCCTCCTCCTCCTCCTCCTCCTCCTCCTCTCCTCCTCCTCCTCCTCCTCCACCTCCTCCTCCTCCTCCTCTTCCCTCCTCCTCCTCCTCCTCCTCCTCCTCCTCCTCCTCCCTCAGCCTTTCTGCTCTCAAGCATTGAGAGTTGCGGACGCGTACTTCAGAGAGGCGCCGCGTTCGCGAGCCAAGCTTTCCCCCGTCCACTGCTTTCGCTGTCGTGGATGGGGCCCGATGTGCTTCCAGGGCCGCATCTCCCCCTCTGGGGATGTGGCAAGTGCGGGGCATTTGACAACTGGGCAAGCAGGGTCAAGTGCCGAGGATGTGGAAATTCCTGCCCCCAACGCGTGCTCGTGGCGGCCCAAGCTGCCGCCAACCGCGCTAAGGGAGGCGGAAAGGGGAACCCAGCTGCTGCCAATGGAGGGAAGGGTCGGTGGGCCAATGGCCCGCCAGGTGGTCCAGGCGACGCCCAGGCCAAGACCATCCAAGCCATGCAGAAGCAGTTGGACGCCCTGCTCAAGGACAAGGAGAAGGACAACAAGCAGCAAGTTCAGTCTGCCCCTCCAGGCAGTGGCGGCGGCAGCGGCAACGGTGGCCCGTCCTACAAGGAGGTCATCAACTTCCTGCAGGCCAAGGGCATCCAGGGCGAGCTGGTGGCCTCTGTCACGGCTGCGCAGCAGCGTGAGGTCGCCGAGCACCCGCCTTCCGTGGTCACGGCTCGCTGGCGGGTCGAGAACCTGCGGAAGAAGAACGAGAAGTTCGAGCAGCAGCTACGCAAGCTTCAAGAGCGTCGAGCTGCCCTCGATGAGGAAGAGGCAGCCATCAAGGCCTCTGTGGAGTCGCTTCGCCGCGACCTGTCACAAGCTGAAGGTGTCTATGCTAAGGTGTCTGCCTCAGACCTTGGGGACTTGGTCAAGATCACCGAGGCCGCCTTGGACGAGTCGCTCCACGAAGACGCCGAGGTCAGGGCAGCCCTGGCCGTGCTGGACAAGCGCCAGAAGGAAGCGGTGGCCGCTCGAGGTGCTCCTGCTCAGCATCCTGGCGGTCCAGGCGGCAACGCTCCTCCTGGCGGCGATGGAGCTCCTGGAGCTTGCCGTGCCGAAGGGGCGCGAGGAGGTGAAGGCATCCCTGCAGCTGATGGAGACGGAGACGACATCGACATGGAGTTGCTGGGCCAAGGCGACCTTGAGTCGCGAACAGAAGACCTCAGGAAGGCCGCTGAGGAGCTCAGGGAAGCTGCCCCAGGAGAAGCTCAGGAGGCCGCCAAGCGCAAGTACGCCCAGGCTGCTGCAGCCTTGGGGATCAAACGAGCGCGGAGGCTTTGACGACCTCGAGCGCTTCTGGGACCACAACGTCGTGGACGTCGACTGGTCGGAGGAGATCGGCTTTGCGGTGCCGTCGCTGCTCCCGCGGCCTGTGCAGGCCCTTTCGGGGGCTCTGGCTGAGCCGATCTGGCGTCGCGGGGGCTTGGCCCAAGCCGGCGCTGGGGAAGCTCTTGACTTCCAGGCTTGGCCTGCGCTGGGGCTGCACGTGGCTCGGCCACGACGGGGCCTCGGCCCGAAGGGCAGGGGGGCAGGGGATTCAGCCCCCGTTCGTCGAACCCCCCTGCCCGCATGCACGGGGAGTTCGAGTGCCTGCAGCGGCCCTTCGGCGTCATCGGTATTGCAGCCTCATGCGGGGTCTCCCCAACTGGCCCGCTCCTCGGGGTTGGGGACACGGTCAGCTCAGAGGGCGTCGCCATCTTCGGCAGCGGGGTCTGCTTCTTCGGCTGCGACGGCTTGTTCTTCGCGTGGCGCTAGAACGCAACAGTCGTCGCCACCTGCCCTTCCCACCCCCAGGGCACCCTTTCCACAGGAGGCGGGGGACTCAGTGCGTGGGGAGGGGGGGCAGGATGTTTTGCTGGCGCAGCTTTCTGACGCAGAAGTTAGATTGGCTGGCAGTGTGCGTGGCTACCCTCGTCCCCAAGTGGAGCCTGATTCGGATTCGGAAATACGTCGGTCAGAACCCGACGGGAGGGCGGAAGAACCTCCCGCTCGTAATCTTCTTGCGGACGATCGTGACTCTGGTGTAGCGCGGGGATCTGCTGACTTGTGCGTTTTTGGAGCCAATGTCAACAGCTGGTCTACGGCAGACACTGTAGTGAACTGGGTCCGAGATCAAGCAGACGTCGGAGGGTCTGGGGCGGCTTCTTGGGGTTTGGTCCAAAGCAAGTTCCAGGTGGTCACGCTCCAGGAGACTAGGTTGAAGTCCCCCGACAAGATCATTTCGGCCCAGAGTTGGGCCCGCAGGAAGTTAGAATTCTGATGTATGATAGGTTTCGAGCGGGCCCCTGTAAAGAGCCTCTTGGGAGCCCCTGGACTAACGTCCCAAAGCTAGGCTTCCAGGCTAAGCTCTTGCTTGACTGCCTGCTGCTTTGCTACGTACTGTAGCCGTTTGGCTTAGAGAAGAAAGATCTCATCCGATATCTTTAACCGATTCACTCTTAATTATCAAGATAATTGATTCTCATCAATTCTTATTGGATACGATTCTCATCGATATCCCGAGTTTGGTAGCGGAGCCTCTACGGAGGCTCTGTCCACGGACCGCACGCTTGCGCGCGCGCACCTGTCAGGCTTGTGCAGTACGACAGATTGGTTTCAGATTCACATCGGGACCACCACTAGAACGGTTTCAGATTTACATCAGATACCGAGTACGACGGATTGGTTTCGAGACCAGTTATTTCAACACAGCATCAATCTAATACAATGCAGCAGACGACGGCAAGTTCACAGCTTGGTCTTCGACAGTATACGAAGGATGTGCCACCAGGATGGAGACCCAGAGCGTACCCTATCAAGGAGTACAAAGAATATCTAGCCATCTGGGGCCGCCTGACCAAGCTTGACCAAGAACAGATAGGACCCGCGATCATGTCACGACTGGAAGGAGGAGCTCTGAGGATTGCAATTGGCTTGACTATTCAGAGGCCAGATCCCCAGACTCTTGTGCAGACGACCTACGAAGGGATCGAGGCAGTTTCTCTCGACGCTCAGCCAGCCATCAATGACCAAGCAGGAAATAGTCTCGCTCCAGCATACCCTTCAGGAGTCAAAGTATTGATTGCGAAGCTCACGGAACTCTACTACTTAGACGATCAGGATCTCGCCTGGACGAGCCTGGACAGATTCTTCTGTTTCGTCAAACCATACGACATGGATTTCTCTACGTACGTTGTTGAATGGGAACGTCTCTATTCTGAAGCAGAAAAACATGGAGGTCTCGCCACCGGTGACAGTGGCAAAGCATGGCTCTTCTTCAGTCGCTCAGGCATTGCAGAACGACAGCTCTCAGATCTCAGACTCAAGGTTGGCGGAGACCTCACACGCTACAGAGAGATGATCGCCCTCCAGATGAAGATCTCCAAGAATGAGTCCGCCAGCTACGACCAGTCTCAAGGATACAAGCAGTACAACACTGAGGAGTACGACGACGACGACTGGAATGACGAGGAGTACTGGCACGAGGATGACGACTGGTATGACTATGATTCTGGTCGAGACTGGACTGAAGAGGAGTACTATGATGATCAAGAAGGTGATGATTGGTCCGAATGGCAGGAAGAATATCCAGACGAATATGGAGACGACCACGGAGACTACTACGGTGGAAAAGGCAAGAAGTTCGGAGGAAAGTCTCGGAAAGGAAAAGGATACGGCGATCATCAACAACGCGGACAACACAACAAAGGACGAGGAAAACGATCTAGCGGCGATCAATGTACAGAGTGTGGCAGCAAGTGGCACGCTACGGAACAATGCCCTATGGAGACGAACTCTGGACCTGCATCTTCCAATGGACAGCACGAATCAGAACATCATGCGGATTCCGATCGACCCCAAGACGATGAAGAATATTGGACTCGCAAAGGATCCTGGAAACCTACTCTCAGAGGTTCTCGAGGAAAAGGATATGATCGACGACCACATGGGCCACGCTATCAACAAGGACGCGGAAAAGGACAACGCTCAATGGGCCGCAGTGATTTTGGACGATTTTCTTTCAGAGGCAAGAATAGGAAAGGCAAGGGCAAAAGATCTTCCAAGAATGGTTACAAGCAGCGCAACTACGGTCAGATGTACGCAACCTTTCCCACGACAAGTGCACGAGACGGAGCACGACATGATCATGACAGTCCTTCTGGCTTTGTTCCTACATCAGAGTCGGATGGCGACCATCACAGGAAGCTTGAGAGACACAAGGCCGGAAAAGCGTACCAGCTGATCTTCGGACCGGACCCTCCAGGAGCGACGCCAGTATCAGCAGTATCTTCAGCGCCTGCAGCAGCTATGACAAGCTCAACCTCATCCTCTTCGAATGGACCTATGGAGATAAGCCATCCTCCAGGACTGCGCGAACCCCTCTATGTCCCATTGACATCGACGAGCCTGGAAGTACCTAGGATATGTCACACATGCTGGAAGGTATCGACAGCGATCTGCGCCACGTGCTTGAAGCAATGCTGTTCAGATCATTCCTTCCTGAACTCATCGAACAGCAAGATCCTGTGCTTCGACTGCACGGCAAGTCACATCAAGGAAGCCACAGATCTCGGAGAAGAACTCAAAGAAGGACCCTCATCAGCATCGAGCCCTACACTGAGCAGGACACCATCATCATGGATGAAGATTGGCTCATCCCTGAAGCTATTCTTGAGGACGACGACGAGGAAGAAGTCAAGGAGGTTCACTTGACCAATGCTCCCCAGGAGCACGGCAGCTTCATTGCAAAAGGCATGGTCTACCAGAGTGACCGATTTCACAACTTCACGGTGATCAAAGGCATCAAGGCGATGGCTTGTTGATAGACCCTGGAGCCTCACGAGGATTGATTGGCACAGACACTTTGGCAGATATTGCATCGCAGATTCTACGCCCCAGACGTCTTGAGAAGTTCGTGAAGTGGAAGCCCAGCATCAACAAGTTCACTGGCATTACGGCAGACCCACAGAAGTCATTGTCATTGGTAAGTTTTCCCATCGGCTTGCAGGGCATCAAGAACGCAACATTCACAGCCGACGTTCTCGGAGGAATATCATCAAGGTGCCCTGGTCTGGTTCCACTGGTGAGTTTACTCAATGCTGGATGCATCATATGTTGTGGATATTTCGCCAACAACGATGGCCTGCTCGGCGTCAGGACAACGGATGGTTCGATTTGTGCTCAGAGATTGTTGTTGACAGATTCAGGACATTATCTACTACCTATTGACCAGTTCAACAAGCCGCGCGACTGGAAGCAGGACCGACTCGTGAAGAACGAGAAGCAGCAGCTTGGACGTGCCGCTCAGCGGCAACTGCCACCGTCCAACACCATGGACTTCTACTCTTATCAGCAGTATTCTCAGAATGCGCCAGTATCAACAGCATTTGTTGCAGGACTCTACACAGAACATGATGGCGAGGACTCGACCCCGAGGCCGACGCTTTTTTCAATAGGTCCTGAACACGACGAGAAACTGTTTGGCCACGAGTTGTACTCATTTCGGAATTCCACAGTTCAACGATACCTACAAGCATGGAGTACTATTTCAGCACCGCGCTGGACAGGGACACCCATGTTTCCTTCCTCTCTTTCTCCTGACGAGCTCAACGAGGCCAACAGTGAGTTCAAAGCCATCCCAGAGATGTTCTACACCACGCTCAAGGACCTACCTGTTATTACTCCATCTTGTTTATCTCAATTTATGGATGTTCTCTCCGGATGCTTTGGCGGCAGACTACCGAGAATTTCACTATGGACATGGTGTTCAGGATCCTCTCGACTCGCCCTAATCATGCTCTCTGCCCCTTTCAACCTTCTCGTTCTATTCCCTGTGGACCTACGCTACGGCTGGGACCTACGTCTTCCTGAACATCAGCAGCTACTACATACAGCCAATCAACATTTTCTTCCAATAGTAATTACTTATGAACCAAGATGCAAATATTGGAGTCGAATGGGCAGCAGCAGAGATCCAGAAGTTACTGCAGACAAAAGGCAACAAGAAACAGGCATGCTAAAGTTCATATTGCAGAACGCCTGTGACAATGCTCAACAAGATCGGCATGGGATATTCGAGAATCCGAAGTCGTCAGCCATATGGACTAAGTCACCATTGGCAGCACTACAGTATCATGACAAGTTCAATGGACACACATACTCTACGGACATGTGCAGGTTTTCTTCTCCACCTGACGGACAGCGACATCGGAAAGAGACGAAACGTAAGAGCTCGTTCAAGTTAACACGTTGCATTGAAAGGTGCAGATGCTACTACGGACATGAACAACTTGAAGGCTACGATCGAGATCAACATAGAAAACGAACGGCAGCTTCTGCAGCATATTCACGAAGATTCTGTTCAAGCCTTTGCCAAGATATCATGACTCTGCTCAGGTCTTCCAAGAAGACTTCACGCCAGAACTATCCAGCAGAAGAAATACAACCATCTCAAGATGATGATGATGGAACAGTACCTGGAATCACTACTAACGAGAAGATCCTGGACCGCAGGAATCTACGCGATCTCTTAAAATCAATGGAGGTTTCTCATATCTCAATGAATTACGGTTATTGCAAATTTCTGGAAGGACTCGACCAACAAATGCTTAAGGCATGTATACAAGATCTTGTGGACTACTCTTCCAGGACAATTATTCCAGGACGTTCAACTACCAGAGTTTTCAAGACTCCTGGAGCACGAATGGAGAATCCAACAGGAGATGTTCTACACCAACTGCTTCACGAAGTTTTCGTATTCACAGCACTGGACGTGGAAATTTGGCCAAAGGAGATATACGTTTATGACAGACCTATCGCAGCCGATGCCTCGAAAGACAGACTGATCTTCTATGGTTTTTCAGATGGCAATGTACGAGCTGAATTTCTACCTGACTGGCAGAGTTGCAGTTCAGATACTCTGAAGAAGCTACCTCATGATGATGTGCGTTACCTGGCCCAACTTCTTGGAGAATTACAGCCTGAAGGACATCGACAATATGCCAAAAGAAGAGTCACTAGAAAAACCACAGCTTCTCATGTACCTTCACCAGCACAACCTTCGGGAACTCAAGACTCTCAAGGAGTAGGTCAAGAAATTGTGAAAATGTCTGGTCGACGTCTTGACGCGATCAAACCCAGCGTTGATCTGAAGGATCTACCTGGCAAGCTAATGAAGGCCTCTCCAGCAGAGCAGGATCGACTCTTACGAGGAGTTCATGAGAGATTTTGGCACAATTCTCCCAAGGACATGTTGCGACTTCTTCAGGCAGCTCTGTTACCAAAGGACATCATTCTGAAAGGAGTTCAAATTGCTCGAGATTGCTCCATATGTCAGTCACAGCAGCGACATCTTCATGCGCCATCGATAAAGTCTCAACTTTCCACCATCTTCAACGAAGTTGTTCAGCACGACCTGTTCTTCATGTGGGATTTGGTCTTTATGTTACTCATAGACGAGGCTATTCGTTGGAAAGCAGGAGATCATGTTGAGAATAAACTTGGACCTACACTTGTCAGAGCACTTTATCGTCTGTGGATCAGATTCTGGGGACCTATGCGACATCTGCTCTCAGATCAAGAAGGTGGTTTGCTCAGCGACGAAGCAACACGGATGTTCGACAGACTCTCTATCACGCGTCTACTTGTCGGACGCGACGGTTCCTCAACAAAAGGATTGGTTGAACGACACATCGCCCTGACCAAGATTGGCATGCTGAAGTTGAAGAAGGAACTACAATCCGCAGGAATCGATATCACAGCAGGAGAAATTTGTCAAGAAGTTTGCATGTCGCAGAACCTACTCTTGGAATATAATGGTGGAACACCTCAGATGGCTCTGACAGGAGTTGAACAGCGAGGATGGTATGTTCCAGATACGGAGACACTGGAATCCAGTGTTGGAGCATTGAGTTCGAGGCCAGACTACATAGAGCAGATGATGAGGACCAGGATGTTGGCAAAGCAATGTATTCTCCAAGGGCTCATTGAAGACCGACTAGCCATGGCGTCACGTATCAAACAACACAAGCATAGCCATGAATTGCTTATGCCCGGTACGATCATCGACTACTGGAGACAGCCCAAGAGGAAAGAAGACGACGGTTGGCGTGGACCAGCAGAACTGATATCAGTGGAACGACTGGCCGGATCAGCTATTATAAGACATCAAGGACAACCACTGTTGATACCTCTACAACACATACGACGACATGTTCTCTCACAGTTCTTCCACAAGTCTCTTGATCAGTATTCAGAGGATTTCTTTTGCAACTATCACGTGGTCAAAGAGGCGAGTATCTTTGAAGCAGAACAAGAACCAGCAAAATAATCCAAGGACGACAAACAGGTACGGTTGACCAATGCGCTCATGGATATCATTGACGGAGAACCGCCAGGAAAACTACGATGGATTGGCAAGGTTTGTCGAGATGGAGAATATGTCTTTGTTCCCGATCAAGAATCAGTTGACCGTTGCCAAGTTCTCAAAATGTGTGAAGAATTATTTCAAGCAGTCTTTCCAAGAGCTCATGGTGTTCTATTTGGCACCAGTCTTCGGCGCATACCATTCATATCACAGGCCTTGTGGGCAGTTATTCTCAGATGGAATCGTCGAGACAGAAAGGACTACTATATCAAACAATACATTCCTAAGATTACCATGACCTTCAGGGCAGACAAATTTGAAAATTCGTCAACAGTTATTCTATACAGTTTCGATCATCAGGAAGAACTACAGTATGATTTGGTACCTGACATGGATTGGAGCGATATCTCAAGCATCACGCCTATGAACGACGCATCCTCGCCAGCCATGGATCAACAAGATGATGACGACAGCTCGCCTTCTCGCAGGAGATCACCACCTGCAGCACCTCAACAGTCACAACCAGTACAACGTACACCTTCTTCAGAACCTATGGAAGAAGAAGAGAAAGATCACGACTCCGATGCTTACCTACCAGCCGCGACTTCATCAGGGCAGCCACCTGCGCCGCCTGCACCACCGGCTTCATCAGTACCGATATGTACGGACGAATCATTGGACGAACCACAGGACTCATCTTTTCCCGAGAAATCAATTGAGGTCCCTGCGGACCAGGATCCTACGTTACCTCAGCTACGACCAACACCGCCAGATGAACCAATGGATGACGTTGCAACTTCCTCCAACGGAGGACCAGGACCGCCAGGTCCACCAGGATCAGGAACAGTCATTTTCGACGTGGCACCACCTATCTCATGGAGACCACAGGTGCCATCAGCAGGATCATCATCACAACCACTACAACCAGTACACTTTCCGGCAATACCTATGTCAATTGGGCCACGACAACCTGGACCTTCTCAAAACGCAGAATCGTTGATGACACCGATTACTACCGCACGACCGCCCACTACTACGACAGCTAAACCTATTAGTCCAGCTACGGCGAGAGCTACTATTCCACATCCTACGCCTTGGAAGACACATATGCCTACGTGGGCACCATCTCCAAAGCCAGCAAGACACCGGATAGAACCATATGGCAGCAGTACCGGACAGTCCACAAGTTCGTCATCAACAGGATCATCTAGACCGACAATGACGCAACCGTCCGCGACAGCATCTAGTTCATCTACAGGACAGACTACAACGGCAGCTTCACCGATACCGGCTACTCCACAGCCACAGGCAGATTACGAACCTCCAGCAGTACCATCAACTCCACCAGAGGAAGACAATGCTCCCTCTGATCGATCAAGGTCACGTTCTTCACATGGTTCTCAGACGACAGTACAATATCCTGAAGACATAGACAATACAGGTGACCTAGACTACAGCAACACTGGTGGATTGGACGACAGCCGTGTTTCCAAGAGAGACCACAACAGCAGCAGCGAGAGCTCGACCACAGCTAAACCGCCTCCTCAGAAGCAAGTCAAGATCAACGACACCGAGGAGATCATCAACAAGGAAGACATCAAGAACAAGGATAATGATGACTTGCCGGATCTTTCAGCATCTCCATCTTCGGGACCACCTGGACCAGCAGCAGGAGGCCCACCTGTTCTTCCCATCGCAAGTGATGAAGCTCAACCACCACCGGCTCAGCCGGAACCGCAAGAATCGGCAGAAGGAGAATCATCGCAGCATTTTTCAGGAAAGATTTCTATGACAGAACCAGACAGAGATATAATGAAGGCTCTACTCACAAAGTGTGGAGCACAGCCGATCTATGATTTTTACAACGAATGGAAGACAAACGAGGAGGAACTATCAACTACCATGATCTCAGAGTTGATTGGCGAGCTCAAGAACCTGGACATTGGTGCACCATCAGAACAGGAATTTCTTTTGGACCTTTACACTGGAGATGTGCACAAGGCCGGAGACGACAGCATGATGCTCACAGAAGAAGATCTTCGACGATATCTCATCTTATAGACGAAGCAGATCATCGAGAATTGGAAGCATTCTGCAACCACAAGGTATTCGTACCACGCTTACGAAAGAATCTTCCAGAAGGAGCCAATGTTGTTGATTGCGTTTGGGTTCGCAAGTGGTCTATCAAGTACAAGAAGGTAAAGTCACGTGTGTGTGCCAGAGGATGTTTTGACAAACAAAAGCAGCTGCTTGAGAAACACTCAAGCACGGCGACACGACTTTCACAGAGATTAGTGATTTCCATGGGACTCTGCAACGGAATCCTGTGGAGCGACACGGACGACCCCTACGACATCGAGACGGAGAGTTTGGACATCTCTACTGCCTTTCTTCAAGGATTGGACTACAGTGAGTTGAGTGCCAATGCACGGACACTTGGATATTAATATCGTCACAAAAGAGAATGTTTCATTATACCACCGGAAAATGTATGGCGACACTTTCGAAAGATGAAGACGGCCATGAAGGAGTTGAAGATACCCGACGCAGAACGAGGTCATTATGTTTTGTTGTGTCTACGAGCAATGTATGGTTTCACAGACGCGCCTCTCATGTTTCAGCTAGCACTTATTTTCTATCTCAAGACGGAGACGAATGCGATCAGCTCGGTTTTCGATGACAACTTCCTTTACTGGTTTGTTACTATCGACGGAACCAAGCACCTAGCACTTATTATGACAGCTCATGTGGATGATCTACAAATTACAGGTTGTAAATCAATGAGGAAGTGGATCAAGGATGCCTTGACCAAGCGTTTCGGTGAAATGAAGCTACAACAGATACCATATACACATGCAGGTATTCATATTGAACGACTCAATCGAGATTGTCTTCGACTCCATCAAGATGATTTCTGCAGCAAATTGACGACTTACAAGATACCTGAGCATCGACTTAAAGAACCGGACAGCCTCTGTGACAGAGCAGAGATCACTATCTTCAGATCATTGTGTTGTTCAGCATTATGGGCCTGTCAGACACGTTTGGAAGAATTATGTGCAGTTACCAGTTTGCAGGTATATCTACAGACGCCGAAGATCGAGCATATCATTTCTATCAATTGCGTTATCAAGAGACTGAAGCGACCAATTCGACATGGCATCTATTTGTGGAGATTGCAGCCACCACTACGCATTGCTAGTATCAGTGATGCCTCGGCTCCGAACAAGCAGAGCAACTTCGCGACCGAAGGTATCATAGTCGGTCTGGCTGAAGACAGAATCACTAAGGTGAAGACGGACAAGGAGGATTTCCTGGACCAAGAGTTGGTCAAATTACTTGGAGGCAAAATGCACATTCTGACGGGAAGCTCACAGAAGGCCAAAAGGATTTCTCATAGCACATCACATGCAGAAACCTTGTCAGCAGCTAAGGCTATTCCATTGGCACAACTGGTTTCATTACGATTGTGTGAACCAGAAGTTACGACGAGAAAGAATTTTTCAAGACAGTGTTCTACTCCACTGGCTCTACTGGACGTTCAAGAGTCTGCGACTGTACCTTTGCCAGTGGACTCATTTATTGATTGTATGGATCTTTGGGAACTTTCGTGTGGCCTGAAAGGCATTCCTCAAGACAAAAGTCAGAGACTTGGAGTACTGTCCATACGAGAAGAACGCAGATGTCTACGATTGCGACGACTATACCACATAAGGACGAAATGGATGTGTGCAGACCAGCTTACCAAGGTCGCTGGCCAAGATAGCAAGGAACTATATCGACTGATATCGAGTGGATACTACATGATCACAGACAAAGTTCGAGTACGACAAGGGTTTGGAGCTAATACGGATTGACGAGTACTACTACTGATATTCTTTTTCTTTTATTTCACAGAAGGGTGTTGTGTATTCCCTTCAGGAAGTACCACGGTCAGTTATTTCTGGAAGATATCTGCACAGTATTTTATACTACGACGGAGAATGTGCAGATGGATTTTTGGTACTATAATTCAATATTTATGCGATGTGAAGACTACTCAGGCTTCACGCATGCGAATGCACGCGCATGTTATTATAAGCACGCCTGTCAAATTCAGGATACCGACTCTTAGGATCAGTTCTTGATTAATTTTTATGCTCTCGAAACCAAGAGAGTATGACGAGAGTTAGAATTCTGATGTATGATAGGTTTCGAGCGGGTCCCTGTAAAGAGCCTCTTGGGAGCCCCTGGACGAACGTCCCAAAGCTAGGCTTCCAGGCTAAGCTCTTGCTTGACTGCCTGCTGCTTTGCTACGTACTGTAGCCGTTTGGCTTAGAGAAGAAAGATATCATCCGATATCTTTAACCGATTCACTCTTAATTATCAAGATAATTGATTCTCATCAATTCTTATTGGATACGATTCTCATCGATATCCCGAGTCAGGAACGGGTACCAGGTGTCCCTCGGGAAGGCCCTCAGCACTGGCGACGGGCCCCTGCAAAGCTCTGGAGGAGTCGGTATTTTGGTTGCTGGGGAGATTGCTTCGAGGCCCTTGGATCTTCCAGGAGTGGGCAGGTTCGACGGGAGGATCGTAGGTCGGGTCATCAATGCGGGGTTCGACCAGGGCCTTGAGATCTACAGTGTCTATCTTGTCAACGACATAGGCGCGACGGGCGAGAATCTAGAGATTTTGGAAGTGTTGGGAGCGCTCCTATTGTGCAGTAAGCGTCCGTGGGTTGTGCAAGGTGATTGGAACTTCACGCCCGCGGCTCTCCAGCTATCAGGTTGGATACAGCATGTGCACGGTGTGCTAGCCGCTCCTGGCCAGGCAACTTGCTCGGCCTGCGCTCCTAGGACTGCCACGGAAGAAGATAAGGAGGAGGAGGAGCTGACGGAGCATGACGGAGGTGGAAGGGAGCTAGACTACTTCGTCGTGTCATCGGCTATCAGTTCATGCATTAAGGATGTCCAGGCTATCCGAGGAGCGCCGCTTTTTCCCCATTGCCCTGTGCTGCTTCGGTTGGGTAACCTCTGCCAGACGGCTGTGGTCCAGCAGCAGACGCGTTTCAAGCCGTTCAGCACCGCGCTCATGGGGCCGCTGCCGCAGGAAAGGGACATCCAATGGAGCGACCCTCTAGACTCAGATTTGGACTCGCTTGCTCGGGAGTGGTTCGGGGAAGCCGAAGCTCGCCTGGTTGAAATTCATGGGATATGTGATCAGAAAGGGTA